GACAATTTTATTGTTTTTAAAGCAACCACCCATCCATCTATCACAACTTGCTTACCACACAAGATGCGAGCATCAGCATAAACCAAGAATAATAACAAAACAAAATTAACATACAAATGCCCCAAAATCTCCCTACTGAACCGATATTGCGTAACACTCGATAAAATTTATTCGATATAAATCATCGATATTCGTTTCGATCTACTCCGAATATGTCAAATTAAATGTATCGATATAATAAATGGGGCCAAGTTCTTCTTTATAGAAAAACCAAGTTAACATTACACCTGATAACGTCACTAGCGTCTTCCAAATATTCTAATTTTGTACCAATTTTCAATAGTTTCAAATTTGTCCACCCGCATTCATAAGTTGGTCGACGTATTATACAATTTACTCAACGCGTAGTTCCAAAATTTTATAATAGTAATCTTGAAATCTTAATAGTAGTATTTCGTAGTTTAGTTGTTGAAATCAGATAAACTATTTAAGAAGGGGCCGAATAAAAATCTACTAAATGATGAACAATGAATATGCATGAAGAGATTGATGCATAATGATGGGCGAAAGAGATAATAATATGGTAATGTAAGGGCATTTTATCGTTATATTTACATATACTTCCTTATGGAAATGAAAAACATTTAAGTTATTTGTTTATATCACTTTTGAATGCTAAAAAGAAAATAAATCATTCCTTCATTAGGAGTAAAAGTACATGCAAATCCTGGTCGTCTAAATCAAACGTGTGTCGTGGGAGAGCCATGCTTCGGCACGAATGGGCCGGCTCGACCGGAGTGAAACCACGGCCTCACAAAAAACAACGCTTGTTGTGTTTCGTCGTGTGAGTGAGGTTACCGGAGGCCAAATTACCCTCCCCTTCCCCAATCTGCCCAATTCCTGAATCCCCAACGATCCTCAAACTCCTAATCCCCAAAAGGCCGGTAACGTACTTGTAACGTCTCTGGTGTTCCAGGTGTCCATGGGCGATGTCGATTGCTTACCATCATGTGATCCGTCTGCTGGTTTACCGGCTTATTCCATAAAAAAAAGAACTATCTGGACATAGGTTTATCAGGTACTTATATAGAGGTGGTGAAACAGGCGTTTAATATAAAAAACAAATGAATATTCCCACGGCAATACATTTATGTATTGAACAAGTTAGAACTCAATAAAACTTCAATAATGATAGATTACACTGGTTCAAAGCTCGGCTGTATAATAAAACTAATTAGAGACAATAAAAATCTCGTAAACACGTCTTTTGTACATAAAGAGCGGATTTTATTATTAAAATTTATAGAAATCGATTAATAATAATCTTCATAGAAGGGATGGACAACATTTTGCAATGTGTGATAAATTGTTTGTTTGTCCTCGATTTGATTTTTTCGAGTAAGACTGAACTGAACCAATAATAATATTTAAATTATATAACATCTCGCCTTTTATCCCCGAAGGGGTAGGCAGAAGTGTACATTATGCCACTGTACAATAATATAACACCCACTTTTCACTATTTATTTTATGAGTACCGTGTAATAGGGGATTAGCCTATTGCCATATACTGGGCACAATTCTCCGTGTATAATGTAATTAAGTAATTTTTTGGCCGACCAGGGAATCGAACCCGAGATCCTCTACCCGGCAGTCGCACTTGCAACCACTCGGCCAATGAGGCAGTCAGCAACAACAGTGAAACAATATTTAAATAATTAATAATGCTATTGGACGCACATACATATTATGCCTATCAGCCAGGGATTGAGGGGTAGCAGCATCCTCTGATTTTTTATGACCTAAATATAATCTCAAGTCGTCTGCCAAGCTAAGATTGGCCTTTCAGCTCTTTAGAGAGAAGTTTTTCTTTAATGTTCAGTAAAAGACCTGTATATATTGTTCCCTATATTGACAAAAACATGTTTCAAACTATTTTAAAAAGAATAAAGGCAAAAATTTCTATATCCATCTTTATAGTATTATAATAAAAAATGTAAATGATTGTGTATTGGAAAATGCATACAAGTTATACTTTTGATTTAAAATAAGAATCAAATAGATTATCATTCATCAGATTTTTAAAGTTTATGTTCTATTGAGTTTTAGTATGTGGTAATGAAAAAAGGTTCAACGTCTCTGTTCTAAGTAGCTTTAGTTTTAAATGATTTTGTGAACAAAGTCGTTCAGTCGATCAATCAAAATTATTCAAACCAGGATGTTAAAACCGTAACCGGGACATAATCGGATTGATCTTAATTTTGATGTAAATACTTAAAGTCTGATGTCTACTGAGAAAAAAATTAATAATAGTTAATAACGATGAAAATATTTGTTTAAAATTATGTCGTGTTACTAAAATTGATTTTGATGAGATTTTATCTCGATAATTTATCATTTGTTCTTTCATATTGGAAGTTCTTTAATATTAGAAAATTAATAATATTAGGATTTTTTGGACTATTTTCGGAGGGATGTGCTGTGCGTTTTTTTTTCGAGGGGGAAATTCATCCTACGATTATTCCCGAGCGGGTGTGGCTAGAGGGAGTGTCAGACTCTTACTGACTAAAAACCAACCCGTTCCTACTCCTGCACTTCGAACCGGAGCCCCGGCAACCCGTTAAGCTTTCTACAGCCCTGTATCACCTACTGGAGGAAGATGCTTAGCAGTCATATCTTACAAGACTTTATATTTAGTCAAAACAAAGCTAACATACATACATACATACATAACTTCACGCCTGTCTCCCATGGGGGTAGGCAGAGACTAAAAATCAAACCAAAGCTAAGGTTTTATTAATTCAATAAATAATGACTTTCAATGATAAGCTCTACGTTTTTATTGAGCTAAAGTTATAATCTAAAAATCGTGCTCTTTTAAAAGTGCATCTGATGAAGAAGCATCAAATGCAACGGTTTCTACATTAATCTAGATCATATCTTATTTTTAGATTTATTTATATTTTGACTGAAGTAAACAAAGCAAATTTATCAATTAGAATTTAAAGTAAAATAAAAATGCTTTAATTTAGAATTGGTGTTACAGATGTATTCATCCATTGTCAGTTAAAAATGGGAAATATACTAATAAACAAATCTTAATTTATTAATAATAAATATCAATATTTCTTTGACAATATTCTTCGTTGCACTAGGGGATCAATTCATCGAGCTTACTTTATCATTATTATCGTATCAACAGCAAAAAGACCTATGACAATAGGTCTCCCATGGTCTAATGACCTTATAAACCTGAAACTGATGAATGCAGGTTGCTCCTAACTTGCTCAGATTTGGCATCTGGATGTTCGGTCGCAATTACAATACTTCAACTAGCGAAGTTGGTCATGCTTCGCCATTCATTTATATATTTGACAAGTTGATCTATAAATATTAAGAACAAGGATGTCATATATAAATCTTCACATATGTAAGTCTGTAGGTACATAACTACCGGTTGATGGAAAAAAATGTGTTGATGACATTGTATGGAGGATGTATTTAAATATATGTTTATCTATTATTATAACTGTGATGGTTATCTGGTCCTGATTAAATTGAGTTTGATCTTTGGTACATGGTTTACTTATATCAACGTCAGTCAGTCACAAAAGGGGTAGAGTGCTGAATACAGATTTCCAGATCAGGCAGGCTGATGATCACAAACTTTGCCTTGCCACCTTTATTAGGATTATTAATTTACCTTCATTGGAGTTCCCTGATATTGTTAACGTCACTTTAGAACCAACTTTAAAAATTTATATGACACTAGCTTTTACCCGCGGCTTCGCTCGCGTCACAAAAGGATAAAAAGCCAATGTGACATATACCAATACACACAGCGCCATCTATACCAATACTTTTGTTTTCCCTCGGGAATATTAAATTTTTCCGGGATAAAAAGTACCCTATTATTTAATCCGGACTTCTAACTTTACGTCTGCAAAATTTCAAAGCAATCGGTTTAGTAGTTACGGCGTTAAAGTGGAACAAACAAACAAACTCACTTTCTGATTTATAATATTAGTAAGGACAACATAACATTACGCCTTTTATCCTCGAAGGGGTAGGCAGAGGTGCACATTATGCCACTGTACAAAGTAACACCCAATTTTCACTATTTATGTTATCAGTCCCATGTAATAGGGGGTGAGCCTATTGCCATATACTGGGCACAATTTCAGACTCCGTGGTACTACTGAGAATTTTTTAAAAACCCACTAATACTTGCCCTACTGCCCGGGAACCACTCGGCCAATGTGGCAGTCATGTAAATGTATATGGAAAGTTCAGAAATTATGCTGAAATCGAAACATGTTTAATGGAGCTGGCATTTGTACTACATTTTATACTACACCCAGTTTAAAAGTATGCGAGTCTTGGGTTTCTAAAAAATTAATCATCATATTCTATACAATAGTGTCCAGTAAAATTTACGAGTTCAGATATGCATATTATGACATAAGCCATCATAAAACAATAATATTCTACGACTTAAAAATGCTAATGAAAATATCAGTTTTTTGTATTGCAATCACAATGCCTGACAAAAAGGAATTCGCAAAAGCTTTTGTGTTTGAAATTCAAATCATCATTGATCGGTTATCAATTAATTTTCAATCACCGTACTCATATCTCGACACAAAAATTACACAATAATTGATTCGAATGATATCCAATATCTAGTGAATATATACTATGAATGAATATTCATGTATCTATAACCAATAAAAAATAAATTGAACACTAAAACTCTTCGCATAATAAATTAAATCATAATTAAATTTATTAGATTAACAACCTTTTGTACGCGTAACATCAAAACGAAACCGAACTCATACGAAATTCCCTTTCAAATACCAGAAAGACCTAATTAACAGATCATCCGCCTAGTTGTGAATCAGAAGTGCTATGCAACTATACTTGCCCATGACCTTCGTTCAGGATATCAGATCGCCACCTATATATACTGAGACGAGGATCAACACCAACATTCTTCTGCCAACCTCAGACCAGATAACATCATGAAGTTGGTAGGTGTATCAAAAGCTTTAGACGAATCTAAAAAAATACTCAATTTTTTGTATAGAAAATTCAATCTTTTGTTGTGACAAAAGATTCTATTTTTAAAAATTCGTGACGTTTCGTTATAGTTTTTCGTGATTTGTGTAACTGTTTTTCTATGGGTTCCGATTGCAGTGTATTTTATAATTTCATTGTTTGTACGGTTATAACATTTTGGCAATGATTACCGTAATCGATTATCAAGTGTTCGACATGGTGTTTATAGGAATTCGATATTCATATTGTTTTAATTGTAACCGCAGAACCATATAAATTGTGTTTGCAAAATTTTCGATCACTTTGGATCGTATTTGTCAATAGTTTGCGCATTATTAACAAGTAAACTATGTCGGTGATAACCACAACCTTTTCCATAAGTTGCAAAAAGCCTACTGCAAATTTAAATTCTAAAATTAATATTACTGTTACCGCAAACTAGACCTTAATTATAGGGTTAAAAAATTGCGTTTGAATAGGCTTAAAGAACAATCAATCTTATGATATGCTTATTTACAATTTCTATTACGTTTCTTTTCTATCAAAGCTTACGTTCGCTAACCCTATTTCTTTTGTGGAATATTTTCTTTCATGTCACGGATCTTTAACATAATAACATTAAAAAATATTATTTAGTCGTATGTATGACGAAATAGCACTAGGATAACCTGTAAATTACCAACCCTTAATACTTCATTTTATATGTGTTTATCTAAAAGTATTCGAAGCAGGATCGAAACAAGATCGACTATCTTATTTTACTCTAAATTTGCATTGCATTTCGTGTTTTATCATTTTATGTTTTATAATATCATCTTCTTCTACCACCAGATCATCCTCGCCGCCATCATCGGAGCCTGTGCTGCCGCTAGCCTCCCCGGCTATGTCGCCCCTCAGTACCGCTACCCCTACAATTACAACTACAACTACGACTCCAGGGCTAGGGCAGCCATCGACAGGAGTGCCAATATCCTGAGGTCTGACTCCGAAGTTAACGAGAAAGGATTCCGTTACGCTTTCGATACTGACAATGGTAAGTTTGCAATTTTCTTAAAGTGATTTACAAAGTTGTGGTAATAGCATAAATGGTGTAGAAGAAAAAATAGTTATATTTAGCTGCTATCACTATAGTTTACAAAGTGTAAATTTTCTGTGATAAAAATTATTTCCTGGTTTACTACTAGCTGTAGTTAACCGGGAAGTATTTACAGATTCGTTAAATCCTAAAATCTATTATACATCAGTTAGAAAATATTGCACCTTTTGCCATCAAAAATTAAAAACGCAGAAACAATTGATTTTTTTAGCAAAGTTTCTATAGCAATAATGTAGATTTTAACACATTAAATTGATTACCAAATTACAATTAATATTTCTTCCCATTACAATATGTAACTAATTCTGATTACCACACAAGTGTAAGGGCGATGATACGCATTCACATCATTAACCTAATCGAATCGTATGTGGGTGCGACCGCACTTTACACAACTTTGCGGAGAGGATCTAATTTGAAATCTATAGTCTAGAAACTGTAGTAAGTAGGATACAAGTTGTAGGCGTGTGTAAAATGCATATACAAACACTATGTATTTCATAACCGAACATAACCATAACATAGATTAAACGAAGAACGTGTGTCTTTTTTTTCTGAAATTAGAAACAGAAATCTGATTTACAAATACTTAAATCTTAATATCTTTTGCTTCTCATGGATTACACATAACGCGTATGAGTGCAACTTATAATGTTTTTGACTTATTTAAAAGGCTGTTTGTTACTGTAAATAGTAATAGAGGCGTAAACACAGAACTGTCAACTAAATATAGTTTAATAATTTCATTCCTATCTGATGTGATTACATAAAATCGGTCAGTTACTGATTCAAAGTCATAGTCAAAGCATTTATGTCAATTAAACCATAAGTTGGTACTTTTGAAACGTCAACAAATACAAAATAAATCATACTCTGTCAGTCTGTCCGTCAGTGAAGCTAGGTGAAGCTAGGTGCTCATTCCAAAATGTAGATTTGAATAAAGAAGAACGAGTAAGAAACTCCATTCGTTGATTATAGTCTAAAGCAGTTACTGACGAAGTAAAATTAATAAAACAAAAAAAAGATATCTTTTTTCAGAAAAGTAAATGGACACAAATTGCTAAAATATTCTTTAAGTATTATAACATAACATAACGAACTTTTATCCCCGAAGGGATAGGCAGAGGTGCACATTATGCCACTATACAATTTAACACCAACTTTGTATCTTTAAGTATTATAAGATTGCTATTTCAATTATTGTCCCATTTAAGAAAACCTTCGACGCCCAAAAGTAACTGACAGTAACAAGCACAGTCATAAAAGCATTCCTAGAAAAGGATAATAATTTCAGAAGAATGCTCTTAAAACAAACCCACGACCTGTCCTTCAACACTCCTTACAAAATCGTCCCTACATAGGATGGGATTCAGCACATTCATATAAAGCAACGATCCATATATTAGCATCTTACACATAATTGCAAATTACACTCGAAGTTCTTAGTATGCAGATCTTATCTAATGAATTGCTATTTTACAGTGAACTCGATTTAGGTAAACATGTGCTGTTTGCTAATAACTAGTCTGTTGGTCTGGGTAGAATTTCATTAAGATGTTCTGGGTATTTGATTCTATGTAATTTGTTTGTAGGTTATCATAACTACATATAATCCTTTCATGCCAGTTTAATAGTTACAGTGACGAAGATGTCATGTTTTCAGAGGTTAACCGTCACAATACAATTTTATTGACAATAAATTATATCCACTGCCTCGTTGGCCGAGTGGTCGCAAGTGCGACTGCCGGGCAAGGGGTCTCGGGTTCGATTCCCAGGTCGGACAAAGTATTACTGGATTTAAAAAAAAATCTCAGTAGTAGTACGGAGCCTGGAATTGTGCCCGGTATATGGCAATAGGTTCACCCCCTATTACATGGGACTCATAACATAAATAGTGAAAAGTGGGTGTTACATGATTGTACAGTGGCATAATGTGCATGTGGGATAAAAGGCGTGATGTTATATTATGTATGTAATTATATTCAAAGGAATGGAGTTAATTGTACCACTATTGACTTTCGATAATGTTTGTCACTCATTTTTATTCTCCGCTGTAAGGCAAGGAAATACATATACCTACTATACAATACACATGCTAACTATTAATATCTAAATCTGAAAACCCAAAAATTTCTATTTTGATTACACAGAAACCCCACTTTCCTTCACGTCATGATGGTCTTCAATATACCCTGCTCACTAAACTTTATTATGTTTCAAGGCATCCACGCTGACGAAACTGGAGTTGAAGCCAACGGCATCCAAGCCGCTGGAAGCTACTCCTACACCGGTGATGATGGCCAGGTCTACAGTGTGAGCTACACTGCTGATGCCAACGGCTACCAGCCTCAAGGAGCTCATCTTCCCACCCCACCTCCCATCCCTGCTGCCATCGCCAGGTCTCTTGAGGAGAACGCGAGGGATGAAGCTGCTGGAATTTTTGATGACGGTGAGTGTAAAATTTTAAAAGTCGTTTACTATGATCCAGTTAAACTTTTTCTAAAATGGGAGTGGAATGGCTAGCAGATAGATGTTACACTGTCATAGTGTGTTTGTAATGCATTTTTGTAAAAGTGAGCCTACAATTATATTCAGACAATTTTTATCAGATACTTTAATAACAATGTAGTGAGCAACAATGAGATTTCAGAATCTCTAATTTCTGTCCATTATAGTCACGACTATGTTCACTAGACTAATTAAGCTGATATTAATATCTGCTGCTAAAACATTAGTATTTTAAAGTTCAAATCAGATCTCTAACAACCTCATAATGATTTAGGAGCCTTTCAAAGTTCATAATTAATTTCTGTTTCATCTAAAGATGATCAGCAAACGATTGCCATTAAAGATAAAGATAACGACGCCTATACACACGTCCTCATTTTATTTATGTGATATTGAATAATAAAAGTAATAATTTACTAATACATGTCGATTGCGTAAATTAATCTAAAAACTGTGTTATTTATGAACATATGTTGAGGTTAACAAGTTTTGCAAAAAAATAACATGACCTATTTCATCAACTAGCATGAATTATGTGCCTTGTTGGTCCGATAGTTGCAAAAACTTCTGAACCTATTTGTTTCGTGAAAACAGAAAATGTCATATTCTTTTTTGGAAAACAGTAAAACATTATAATTTGTTATTGCATCCGAGGATTTGGACTCTGTCTTGTATAAAATTAATCAAAACTTTTAATGCTGTTTGTCGCAATTATAACCACATCTCTTTTTCCAATTTTCAGGAAGCTACCACGACGCCAAATACGCCCCTGGTGTGGTTCTAGCCCGCAACCAATACAGATATAACCCATTCTACCCCTACCGTCGTTACTAAGAACTGCAACCATAAGCAAGCAACAAAGCAACAGAATTTTGTACAGTGCCATTTGATATAGGTTAAGATTATATTTACAAAGAAAAGAAAAATCACAGAACATCAACATCCTTGAAAATATGACGAAGGAATGAAAAAGAACAAAATTTTCAATTTGTTTTGTTGTATCTTTGATTGAAGTTGGTCTTCTGTAATTTGTATTGTGTATATTGAAGCAATAAAGTTGCAACTATATTTTTAATTGTTGTTTTATTTCGACATTTATGATTTTTGCTATAAGATTGATTCATATTATTAAAATGATGATTAAATCAGTCATTTTTGGTCCGATGTTATCTAAGCATTTATTTCTCTTATCTATTTCACTCATCTTGGCGCTTCTGGTCTATTCTTAGTCTTACTTAACATTTTCTGTCAATGTCACAGCTTTCCTTGAAGTAATCATGCTATATGATATTCACAATCCAAAACGACCAATTTAAAATAACATCCCCCTTTTAAAATTATCTTTATTAATATACACTGTTATTATGATAAGTTTAATTATCAGACCCAATTAATAATCTCTTTGGCAGAGTGGTCTCAATGCTGAGCCATAGGAACTATGTTGAGTTTGAGTAATAATCTCATCCGCTCTTACCACAGAACTTACAATTAAATAGGTGAAAAGGGATTGTTATTTAATATGTATTTCCAATAATAATTATCTCTCGGGAGAGTTTTCATGTGGAAGATCAAAAGTTCTTTAGCACGACCAGGCTAAATCACGATAATAAATAAATAAGTTTTACATTTTAAGTGTGGGAGAGCCATGCTTCGGCACGAATAGGCCGGCTCGACCGCAGTGATACCACGGCCTCACAAAAAACCGACGTGAAGCAACGCTTGCAGTGTGTTTCGTCGTTTGAGTGAGGTTACCGGAGGCCCAATTATCCCCCTCCCTTTCCCCAATCCCTGAATCCCCAACGATCCTCAAACTCCTAATCCTCAAAAGGTCGGTAACGCACTTGTAACGCCTCTGGTGTTTTAGGTGTCCATGGGAGATGTCGATTGCTTACCATCAGGTGATCCATCGGCTCGTTTGCCGGTTTATGCAGTAAAAAAATTAAATAAATAAATAATACTGCATTATCAGCGTAAAAAACTGAGCAAACCATTCCTATGATACGACCAGCAACACATTTGTGGCTTCTTTGGTACTGCTCCAACTGGCCATCTATCTGTTTGTTTGCCAATAAATTTTGTACCATACCCCCCCCAACCAAATTCAATATTTAGAGTATGATAAACGAATATTTCAAATGTTGCATTTGTTCTTGCGATAAAGCAATAACACTTTACGAACTTCTTTAATTCTTGTTCAACATCAAACGTGTTAATAAAATTAAGTTTATTACCGTTTTTATACTCTGAGCTAACCATTACTACATTTATAATTTTAGGTTATATCTTATAACTCAATGTTTGAATGGCTACTAAAATGGTACTAATATTTTTTTAAAGGTGGTTAACCTTGGGTCTTCGTAAGAGTATTTTAGAAAATCCAGAAATGATTTATTCACATTGTCATGTAGTGCTATGAATTGGACAATGTAATGATGTTAATGTAAATTGCTACTTTTAATGAAAAAGAAGAGCAAGTTTTGTGAACCTGATTGAAAAAGAGTAACCTGTGCAGTTTCTTACTCGTTCTTCTCCATAGTAATCTCACCTCCATACTAACACCTTGGAATGATCAAATAGCTTCACTTTTATTTTTTTTTTTGTTGACGTTCAGAATTGCTTTTCTGGTCTAAAAGAAATAAATGATTTTGAGTTCGACTTTGCATTTTTATCTGTTAAGACTTGAAATATAATATAATAATAATAATAATAATCATTTATTGCAGACCATGTCCATATTCTTGTTAGTAACATTGAACTTAAAAACTAATGTTAGTACACAATATTATATATTTGTTTAATAGGTCAATATACAAGAATATATAATATACAAAAATAGAGATAGACAGGACAACACAAAATCACAAAATATGCTCTATTTGTTTCTAAATTACTAAGGACTGATTTTTCAATCAATAATTCACTGTTATCTATAGGATAAAGTTGACATTTGACAGTTTTTAGTATGGAATAATTGTGAAACATTCTAAATTATAATTCCTCTGACAAATTTATCTGGGATTAAAACAATTAGCTGTTAGTTTATTATTATATTTTTGCCTTCCAACCCTTGTAAAAACTTAGAACTCCTTTTCTAATATAAATATAATGAACTCAACGTTGAATAACTCATTCATAGTAATAAATTGCATGTAGAATATTCTAAAAACGAATAAAATATATACCACGTATTGTTTTTGTGAAGATATTTAAAAGATTAAATTTCTTTTGGCACTTTCCAATGATTCAAGATCCTTAGGTATTACCTAAAAAACATAAATGTATTGTAACTAAATGCATTTACAATATACAAAGTTCATAATCCATTTCATCACATCCTTTAATATCACCCTCAATTACATATCTAATTCAAGTCTAATCAGCACCCATTCATCTTAGTCGATACAATCTTGTCTTATTTGATCCTGTTGGCACCCACTGCACTTTACTGAACACATTAATCATGCTTTGATATGTCATAGTGTGCTTCATAAATCTTGTTCATTGAAGGATTACTTAAGAAAGAGTGAGGTAGGCCTAAATGTGGGAGAGCCATGCTTCGGCACGAATGGGCCGGCTCGACCAGAGTGATACCACGTCCTCACATAAACCGACGTGAAGCGACGCTTGCGTTGTGTTTCGTCGTGTGAGTGAGGTTACCGGAGGCCTAATTACCCTCTTTTTCGCCAATCTCCTCAATTCCTGAGTCCCCAACGATCCTCAAACTCCTAATCCATCCCCAAAAGGCCGGTAACGCACTTGTAACGCCTCTGGTGTTCCAGGTGTCCATGGGGGACGCCGATTGCTTACCATCAGGTGTTCCACCAGCTCGTTTACCAGCTTATGTAATAAAAAAAAATGTGTAAATTAGGCGCTGGTTGAGTTATCCATCTAGAGTTGGAGTAGTGCTTAAAAATAAAAAAAAATACTGAAAGATAGTAACTCCTCCTTTTTCGGAGTAAAATATGCTGGGATTGGACTTAGGTTAGATAAAGTGTAACAGATATAGATTTTGGAGAAAATAAAGATATTCATTTAACTGAATTTCTTCTTACTAGGTGCTTTTGTTAATACTAGGTACGTATAAACTCGACCACTAATATTTAATGAATTTAGAAAGTCGAGAAGCCTATAAATAAGCTTATTTAAACATTCAAGAATTCTGTCACTAATAAATTTACGTTATGAAACTGAATTTTATATGAAACCTATAGAAGTTCCTGATTAATGAAAATTATTACCATTATAGTTAAGCGAAGCAAGCGGCCGTTGACCTTTGACCTGTCTGTATTTCCTATAGAAATTACACATTAAGTACCAAACCATTACGACTTTATTCATTCAGTGGAGAAATAAACGTGAGTCTAGTCTATTAGACATACAGTATCAACAGCCCGTGTCAAGCCATTATTGTACTATGGGTTTTCCCTACATAAAAGGGTTCGCTATAATATCTACACTTGTATTGTAACTTTCGTGAGACATACTAAATAAATTATTATGTTTTCGGCTTACTCTAGCCTTATATCTAGAATATGAGCCTCTAGCATGGCTTGAAACTAGTCGAGTTCTTCGTCAAATTATTACGTGAGTAAGCCGAAAACATAATGATTTAATCTCTACACTTTTTTTTATAAAACGTTGCCCCACACTAGGGTTCTCTCCTGTTTCGTGGTTGCGTTTACAAACATTCAAGTTCACATACACCCAGACCAGAAACAACAATTTGTTGATGACACAAACAGTTGCTCCGTGCGGGAATCTAACTTAATGCAACGCCCCAACCGTGCAGTCAACTTGGCAAGCGAGCGATTATAGTTTGAAGGTTTAGATTTATAAGAAACCGATGCTTTTCGATGTCTATCAAATGATTATGTAAACTGCTAGTGGGATCTTATCATGCCTATGGAAAGAGAAAGGTTTTTTTAAGAGGGAACATCATAAACTAATTCCCAAATACTGAAATGCTACACTTTAGTATAGTTCTGTCACTATTAACTCTTTGCGAAAGGACAGAAATGGTACGATACTTAAGTACTACTTAACATTGTTTTTTTTTAAGGGGGGAAAATCATCGAATGACTTCTCCCGCCCTGGGTGAGGCGAGAATGAGTGTCAGACTCTGACTGACTAAAAACCACCCTGTTCCTACTCCTGCACTTCGAGCCGGGAACCCGTTAAGTCTTCCGCGGCGATATATCGGCATCAGCCCTATTGGGCCCCATCTGTGTCTATGGTTACTCTGCCTGTCATCACTACAGAGCATACAATTTGTAACACGAACTAATATTCCCATTTACCAGAAAAAAATCAAAGCTATAAATCAAATAAGCAATTGATTCTGACATTTTAAATCGTTTTATGTCCAAAAATAAAGTTTAAATTTAAATAACAAGGATATTAATAATTATTATTTATGAAATATGTTATTTTAAAACTGTAGCGAAAGGAAATTGATTGAAATAAATTGTTAAATTGGATGTTTCCTCGTCCACACATCTCCTATCAGAAAGGGTAAAGGTAAGGTCCTTTTATATGAATACTAGCTTTTACCTGCAGCTTCGCTCGCGTCACAAAACTATAAAAAGGAGCCTATGTGACATATACCAATACACACAGCGCCATCTATACCAATACTTTTGTTTTTCCTCGGGAATATCAATTTTTCCGGGTTAAAAAGTACCCTATTATTTAATTCGGACTTCTAACTTTACATCTGCAAAAATTCAAAGCAATCGGTTGAGTAGTTACGGCGTGAAGGTGGAACAACCAAACAAACTCACTTTCAGATTTATAATATTAGTAAGGATAAGGATTAAATCAATCCTTCTTGCGAGAGCAAGAGAGTCGAGAGACTCTTAGGCCAATTTTAATGTTTTCTACGGGCTTCCACCAAGTAAAGGACTTATAAAGAAAATTATTCGGTAGCTGTTCATTTTAATTTACATAACATCATGACATCACGCCTTTAATCCTTGAAGCGGTAGGTTGAAGTGCACATTACGGCACTTAATGCGACTGTATAAAGTAACGCCCAGTTTTCACTACTTATGTTATGAGTCCCATGTAATAGGGGGT